GTTTTATCTTTCTGACTCAAATAGAAGATCACTCATATGCCACTCCGTGGTCACTTTTTAGTGGTCGCTCAAAAAATGAGAAAATGGTGTGGTACTTGAGATTTACTGTATTTAGAATCAGTAAGAACACAATAAACCTTATATAATATCATGTTATACGTCGATTTCGTCGCCACTCTGAGTACTAGGTCATTATTAACGATGAAGTCACGTATCTAGTAGGAAATGGATGATAAGGTCAGTTATCAGAGTTGGTGCAGTTCAATCTTGACCTGTCAAGAGACTTTAAAAGCAACAAATTTTCACACGAGGATTAGATACCAAATGTTATTAATTAAGAAACCGTATGCCTCAAAGTACTGTCACTCCACACATATAAGCTCTAATAATTCGCCATAAAAACATTGTAACAAGCGTTTCGACTGTAAGAACTAAAGTTTCACTCAGTAACTTGACACTACTGTTTATTTCTGACGATTCCAGCAAGTACGATGATCACATACAAAAATCTTTGAAACAGAGGGCGGTGACCTGCAATCCATGTCAACTTGTTGGCAAATTAATTATCAGTTAGAAAATAGATTACTTGATGTCGACTTTAGCAAAGACCAAGTTACTAGAGTTTTTTACAGTGTGGATACACGAAATACAGTGGAGGAAAGTATCTTGTTTCCTGAAAAACCTGCCAGAGATATACATGTCACTTGACAACAGTATTCAGACAATCTCTCAGTTAGTAAGTTTTGTCCTAGGTTTTCTAAATTTTTGTTTCACCTCTAAGAACTCGGATAGAGGTCTTATTGTAGCCAGTCAAATACGAGTATTCACAAATTATACATATATATGTCATAATTACCAGACAGATCCAAAACAGAAAACCTTAACAAAAACCTGTAGCGTAAACACCTCACAAGAATATACTCATGCCTACCTCATTTACCTAACATTTAGCAACGGGGGAGCGTTTAGCCAACTTAAGCTTTACAGACGAGTAGAATTACACATCAGTGCTGGTTTGAGGGCGAAGTGCGACCACTCTGACCAATGACATCGGATTTGAAGTTGCCACAGGTATTCGGAGTTTGACAACGCTTTAACCAGTAAGACCTTCCAATATGAATCGTACCCACCAAATGAAATCAAAAGACAGAAGCCAGGAGGTTCGAAAATATATTTAATAGGCCACCGATATATCGAGGATGGTCTGATCTAATCTGGCTAGCGATCGCAGTAGATGTTGAGCACGACGTTCCACACGTGATCTGGTGCGGATGCATGACCAGGCGCCTTCAGCTCGATGAGTCCATTAAAACTAATGTGGTCAGCATCCAATGTCGAAAACTTACAGACTTATTTATTTTGGGGATTTATTTACCGCGACTGATAACTCCCTCCCCATAGTAGGGTAGCGATGACCCTGAGACGTGGCCGACCAGAAGTTTAAACACAACGAGTTTTGCGTTGGTAAACACTCTTCTGATAGCTTGCTAGGTTTAGCAGCATCTGGTTGTCTTTCCTCACGATAGGGGACCATGAAGTACAATGTAGTATAAAAACATAAAGTACAATGAACATTTCCGTTTCTCGCAAACTTCATCGTTCTTTCTATCGTCTTTTCCATCCGTCCTGGAAAAGAAAAAGAGTATGTAAGTGCATGTCGAAATAAACTCATACGCGCGTAAAAACACAAAGCGGGAGAAAAATGGTATATAAACTCATGCTCACATAATAGCGTAATAAAAAGATTTTTAAAATATAGATTTTGTTTTGTTTTCTTTTTAAATAAAAATATATAGGCACATTAGGTTTGGGTTTTTTTCTTAAATTATATATAGTACAAGGGAAAATCGGGACGATATAAAATGTAAACTTGTATCTTACGTGTAGTTATCGTTCAAATATTCTGAAAATCTTACTCTTCTTCCAGAACGCGTTGTTTTGAGTTTATTTTCTGATACCGCCGAAGTATCAACGTGTGTCGGCTGTCGATTAAGGTATTATATGGGAAGGAGTCGTGTCGTGCGATTGTACTGAAGGAAAGTCGACGTGAATAGGATTTCCTTCTAAATACGCTGGTTTGAAGCGATCACTGCTGATTCTATCGTTGGTTCCGTCCTTGTTGACTTTAAAGTACTTGGGTTCGCGTCGAACAACTTTGAAGGGTCCTTCGCATACTGATTCGCGAGATCGTCGATATGAGTCCCGACGAAAACGTGTGTACCATACCGTAAGTCAGGTTGAACGAAAACATCAGTTGATTGTGGTCGAGTGGAAACAGGTTTAACTGGACGCATTGCGTTTGTTAGATCCATGTCCATTGAAGAAGATAAAGAACACACAAATTCTCTTGGAAGTCCTTCCAATGTTAGCCTTCACTGCATTGCGAATACCTAGTAAGGTTAGTGGAAGAGTGTCAGTCCACTGAGAAATGTTTGCGGCTGATAGTGAAGCTTATAGTTGTCGGTGAAAACGTTCTACTAACCCGCTTGCTTGTGAGTAAGAGACCATCGTTCGGAAGCGAGTGATTCCGAACATTGTACGAACAGGTGGATGAGAAAGTTTGTACAACGTATTGAAGACGTTGGGTCGATAATGTTTCGGCACAATTGGACGATCCCTACCTGTAGATGCGTCACACAGTAAGGTTTCCTTACCTGTTCCCATCTGTTTAATTCGCAGTTTAAGGGTTGTTGACGATAATTGTGTTGAAGATCACTGTCTTCTTTTTGAAGCTGGGCGAATTTCAGAAGGTTGATTCCTTGGAAACTGTTCAAGGAAGTTACTCTAGATAAGGCGTCTTCAACTACATTGTTTGCTCCAGAGATGTGCCAAATATCTGAAGTAAACTGCGAAATGTAGTCCAGTTGTCGAGACTCACGTGGTGAGTACTTGTCTGAAGACGAACTTAGGGAGATGGTCAGTGGTTTGTAGTCAGTAAAAGGGGAAAATTCTAGGCCTTCGACAGTGTTGAAAATGCCGTACAGCACAGTAAATAGCAGGGAGTTCCCTACCGAATGTGTTGTACCTCGATTCAGTGTCTAGCAACCATCTCGACTAGAATGCCGAAGGTTGCCAGGAGTGGTTAACCTATTGTTGTAAGACTCCTCCGATTGCTGAGTTGGATGCGTCAACTGCGATACTAATGGGCGCTTCAGTGTCCTGGTGAGCAAGCATGGTTGCTTGTGCGGTCAGTTCCTAAACTGTGGAGAATGCTTTTCGAGCGATTTCATCCAGATTGATGGATTTCGCATTTCCACGAAGTTGATCAGTAAGAAGTTTCACAAGGGACGCGCATTTCGGTGTGAATCGTCTATAGAAACTTACAAGGCCGTTAAACGTGCGCAATTGTTTGATGGTGGTCGGTTCTGGGTAATCCAGAATGGCGGCCCCTTATGTTCTAAGAAGTCGGATACCTTGCGCATAGATAGTGTCATAGGAAGTCTAAGGAGTCAGTTACGACTTGGCATTTCTGAGTGTTTACAGTAATGCCATGCTTTTGCAGTCGGTCGAAAACAAGATCCAGATGCTGGAGATGCGAATCTCTGTCCGGACTTGCTATTATGCAGCCATCAACATACACATGTACGAAGATGAGACCACGAAAAACGTCGTCTATGAACCTTTGGAAGATCTGTGCTGCGTTTCTTAGACTGAAAGGCATTCGCAAAAATTCGTGGAGTCCGAAAGGAGTTTTAATAGCGGTTTTCGGAATATCATTAGTAGCCATATGAATTTGGTTATACGCTTTAACCAAGTCGATTTTCGAAAAGACAGTTGTACCTTTCAAGGTAGCTGTCAAATCATGAATGTGAGGCAACAGGTAACGATCAGGAATGGTTTTTGCATTCAATCGCCGATAATCACCAGTTAGATGCCAATCGTTGCTGTCCTTTTTAGGGACCATGTGCAACGGAGATGCCCATGTGGTGTTTGACGGTCGTATGATTCTTAAATCTATCATGTGGTTAAATTTGTTTTTCGCCAACCTTAACTTTTCGGGGGCCAGTCGGCGTGCCTTAGAACATACAGGTGGTCCTGTAGTCGTGATGTGATGTGTAACGTTGCTGGTTACACACGGCGATTTTGGTTGCGATTGGCAAATGCAAGAATATGTACCGAGTAGTGGTTGATTGTGGATTTATTTACCGCTACAGATTTAAACGAAACCAACCCATGACATTATGAAAACTATGATGACTGACGTCAGTAAGATTTCAACCTTCAGATGATAGAGCCTGAAAATATATGGAGAAACAGCTTATTACTTTGGGCTTTCCCTCCTGGAGACTGGGATGGATTTCAGTGTTAGATTTGTGTCGTCTATTTTTTGTGCAAACAATAGACAGATTTTCAGTGGAACGTGTAACAGATTAATTAAAGATATGACACTGCTTAGAATATAGCAACAACTTGGTTTTTAGACTGACTTTGGTAACTTTCACAGTTGACTGACGTTTTTGGGGATATACTGAGTTCATCTTACTCCATAGATGAATTATAATGAAATATTTTCATGATATTTAAATATCCATTCATTGCCAATCCACCACCTCATTAGGTAAACAGTGAAAGGGTTAAAAAACTGTGCTGGTAAAAAAAACAAAAATTTCAGAGCTAGCAGTCAGAAAACTCATAAGAAGTCTCAGCGAACCTTTGTCCAGTCGTGCGTTGAATTTAAAGTAATCAAAGAATAAGGCTACACCATGTCATAGTTTATACCTTGTGATCTAACTCACAATTTCTTTGATGACACAGCTATTCGTGGTACAAAAAATTAATCTTAATTTAAACTAAATCTAATAAAAGCACTTAGAAGAGAAGAAGAGTTAATATAAACTTTCAAGAATACCAGTAAAATCCTCACATTAGACCTCCCAAGATCAGACCCAAAGAAGAAAAACTATATGAATGCCAAGAACATATCCTTGAGATGTGACAAAAAACTGGATATTAGAAAAGTATAGTAATAGTAACATGAAACTGCCATTTTCATATAATCTATTGAATGAAGATTTAAGCGCCTAACATGGTAGTGGTCCAAGGTCGCTCTGGATGATTGCAAATATTTCTAAATACGATGGGGATAAGGAGACTCCTCCGTATATTGTTCAAGTTTTGTTGATTCTTTCATATTTAATTTAGGAATCCGGAAGATCTGCGGTCTCTACCTGACTTTGCTGCACTTTGTTCTTTCCTGACGTTTTTTGGCTCTGATCTCGGTATTCACCTTACGTTCCCACAGTTACATGATTTCCTCGCTCTTCAAAATTCAGGTATAGAGTGCGTCAGTAAGCAATACATTCTTAATTCGACCACTACAATTTTTAAGTGATTGTTTCGTAACAGGTTATGCAAAACTAAACACTAGTAATAACTCTATGACGGGAACTGTATCTGTTAACATTACCACTTAGTCAATAACTTCCCAATTGTCTCAAAGATTACTGGTAATGAAGTCCACATAGTATTATGGTCCATATCCCTCTATGTAATCCTACACTAGTTTTGCCACCATTCAAACTCTATACTGTCTGATGTTCGTAGCACTTTTTTTGCTGAAGCTATTAGCTGTAGTAGTTTAAAACCAGACGACTCCGTATTCATAGGTAAGTAAAAGTGTACATGTTCTTACTGCCAGTAGTTGATATATCTGGCCTAAATGAGTAGTCATCGACTGACTGTACAAGGACGACATTGTTTTTCTTTTCCATATACAAAAAGAAATGTGGTCTTCAAAGCTTCTGGGTTCACAACGCAAGAAGTTCTTAAATTCACTTAATCATAAACTTGTATCTTTCCGAGTAATTAGTCTGGTACTTTTGGCTACTTATCTTCGTACCGATTAACTCGGGCAAACTGGTAACTGAAAAAGTTTTGTACTGATGCGAAATGAATTCAGTAAAAGGTGGTTGATTGGTTGAGACCTGAGATTCCTACTGATTATATTTTGCTTATTCGTTAACATTTCAGTATATATTCCATAGCCAACAGTAGTTACTACCGTTTTTCACCTAACTGTATGCCATGATGTACGCTCAATATATCTTCCATTCTTTGCTTACTGTATATCTAATTCTTCCTTCATATCACCTTTGTTCGTAGCTTAAAAATATTGTAACTTTCCTTGTTTGCTAACATATAAGCGAAAGTATTTTTGGTCGAAACACGTTCTCTTAAAGAAGTGATGGCCTCTAGTTAAGAAAACATACTCCAAAAATATCTATTAATGAAGTACAGGAGGATGCTTCACTAGATATCATGAGTACATCATAAATCAGTTGCAAGTATAAGAGCTGTCCGTAAATTATGACAATGAAGTATAGGTTCTTCATGAGTACCAGGGTCCTAGGAAAAAAAGGAGTTTGGACCTACTGTTGGTCACTGGTTACCATGGGACTGCATCTCCTTACGATGCTCCACTGTCTTGTGGATCAGACCTTCAGGTCAAAGGCTTCGGGTGTGGCCCCCTAAAAAAACCACCTGCTTCGGTTTTTGCACACGGGCAGTATCCTAGCCCCCACACAAATTGGATGATTCATTTGGCGCATATATATTTGGTGCCTCCTTGTACCAATGCTTATATATCTAAACAAATAAGTACCCCTAGGTTGTTTATAGAAAGTGTAGTTTTGTCGTGTATATACAAGCATGTCATGCGCTAATTATTCGCAGTTCTTTTTTATTAGCAAAAACAAAAATATGGGAGACTCTTCACGTCAAATTGCTCAATAAGTTAAAATACCGCGCTCGTCCTGATCGTTGGGAACCAGTTTTGGGTCGTTTCTTGCTTAGTCATGGTCTTCATATTGATGGAATTCAAACAGCTGCTGAGCTTCTCTTAAACAGTGAATGTGGAAATAATGAAAAACTGGATGTATTCATTCAAGAGTCATCTGGATATGTTTCTAGTTACTACAGGCTCTCTCCTAACGTTCGTGTCAAAACTCTCCTCTGTCTTTTGGAAACTCAGTTTGATCGGAATCAGCCTTTCAAAGATAAGGCAAATCTACGCTCTCCTGTCGATATACGATTTCCTCCCTTGGGGATTGATGTTTGGGGTAGAAGCTATTGGCTTCTGAAGGATTCAGATATAAATATTTACTTATACAGGGAAGATCATCAGGAAAACAATTTCCAGGTAAGTACTTCTTGCGTGTTTTCTATATTATTCATGTAATAATTATCGGTGGGACTTTATTTACTAATGATTGGATCTTCAAAATTTGAGTTCTAAGTTTTGATGCCGCTTCATATGTACCTTGGTCTGAACGAAAATTTGTATTGATAACTTTCGCCGAAAATGGCTGGAAGTCGAGAGTGTAAATCTGTACACAGTCAGTCAGTCAGTCAGCTGCAACGTAGGACCAGGCACGTATATGCATCGGTCCAAGTTGCCATACCGCATTAGCACAACAAGATGAACACCGGATTCATAGGAGTAGTTAATTCAGTGGTGGTAATATATAGAAGAAAGATTGTGTATAAGGAGATAGTAAAGGAAGAAAGAATTAGTTCCTAGACAGATATGAAGCGATTTTAATCTCTTAATTTAAGGAAGACAGAGAGTGTATACACCGACGCCATTGTGATCGATTCTGAGCCATGTCACCAAGAGTCTCCAACCATTGGTTACGATAGTCACGCGGACCCCAACCAGGCAGTCTGAATCTCCCAACATGGCTCAGACCAGAAGTTAGTGACTTCAAGCACTGATGCCACGTTTTGGTTTGGCCGCCCCTAACTTTCTTCCAATTATCCCCTGCACTAGTCAGCATTGCGCGTCGTGGTAATCGGTGTTCAGTTAGAGTCCTTTTTATTAATGCTTTACAACAAAATAATTCAGGTAAATTAAAATTGTGATGGTAAATTACTGCGAGAATCCAGTTATTTTATGTACTATATATTCAATAAAAAGCTTTCAACTTGATCAAGTTATTTCTAAAACTCAGCAAATCAATGCACTTTTACAGCAGATTTGGCGTAAGTTTTGTAAGGTCAATTCTTCATTTTAGTTGGAATAATGCTTTGCGCAACATTTAATTATTGCTTGGTTGTCACTTTCCCTCTGAAATTTACCAGTTGATTTATTGTGAAACATTAAACGATGCTGCTCTTATTTATCATATAAGGTTGGTGGCCCCACACTTTTTCTTGTGCTGCGTTTTGTCTCTTGACCAAGAAGTGTTAGGTTAGTTGGTAAAGTTCTGAGCTTTCAACCATTGTATTAAAGGATGGAATCTCATCTACTTTAGTTGAGGCAACCGGGCGGTATTACAGCTAATATCAATAGTATGACTGCAAGCAAATTATGTAAACATTTCTGGTGAGTTACATTCATTCATTAAACAACCTATCTACATTAAGTGAAAGCGTTTATCAATGACATTAACTCTAGAGGGTATTTTAGTTTAATTTCTATAAATTCTCAACAACACTGGATAAATTATCTAAGTATATTCCAAAAAAACAAGAACAAATAAGAAACAACTTGAAGGACTTTGCCTGTTTGATCAGAATGCATATTTTACTGGTCTTATTATTTATTTTTATTATCTTCGGGCTAAAGACACTCCTACTAACGGGTCGGCATACTAGGAACTATGGTTTTAATTTCATCCAAGCGTATTAGTTTAGCACTCCTAATTTGCCCCTTCCGTATTTCTCCATTAAGTTGTTGTGTGAATCTTTTGACGACGTTCGTGGTCTCATCGAGGAATTGAAAAAAGCCTTTTCGGAAGATGAAAAGCTGGAAAGTATTTTTAAGAAAAAGCAGGCTTCAGACAGATCAAATCTGAAATATCATTGGACAAACTTGATACAGGATGATGTAGCCTCTCCAGAACTGGAAATTTCAAAAAATGACGAGGATTCTGTCGTTTCACCGCTACCGCAGCCAAATGATTGCTTAAAACCCGCAATTACACCACCATCAACTCCGACTTGTGATCAGAAACCAAATATTCATTCGGTCGACATGTTATTAGCAATTTCAAAGATTGAGCATTCAGTCAAAACCGAAAGTCAAGAAAATGATGGGTTAAGTGAAGAATTGGTTTCTAGTGACAGAGGAAAATCAGATGATCAAAATCATAATGTTATTCACGAATATGAAGTGGAAAAAAAATGTCTTGATGCAAAGTACGTCTATTTACCTATCAACAAACATTTTTTTACTGTATAGCTTTTACTGTATCTTAGACTAATGTTTGTTCGTACTTATTTTGCTTGTCCAAAGTAGCGCGTATACAATACATAAAGACAACAAAACAGAGGTCTGTGATTTATATTTATCTATCAGTGATTAACCTTGCTTGCAATTACAATGAAAGTGGAATGTCATCCGGAATTCGAAAGTTACGTCCTTTCATTTATATGCTCAAATTGCGTTGTACTTGAACACTATCTTACAACCAGATAACGTATGAGAATATGCTTTACTTTACTGCTTAAGCTTAGTTTACAATGTAAAAACAACTTGCATACTTTTTGTTGATAAGCTATGATCTTGCTTGGTCATTTTTAATCTGATGTGATTTGTCCCTACCGTAGCTGTTACATTGACGTGGTGGTTGGGCTTGCCTATCGTGATGACCCAACCGAGCTATATTGGCTGGAACACATGTTCCTGCAGGTTCTACCATGCCAGGCAGGTCGATTGGAGAACGGTAAGACTAAAAGCAGCAACTCAAGGTCTGAGGGCGAAGTCGTACTGCTGACTGTACAGAGGTGTGACAGCAGTAAGGTGTTTCCCTCGGACAACCAGCATCTGCAGCGATGCTGCCTTCTCACAAGGAAGGAAAGGGTTAGAAAAGGTTGACCCTAAAAATGTCATACCTCACCTTACTCCCCGGATTTCCGTCTCCGGCGGTAAGGCCGTTTGAAGAACGGAGCTAACATTAAAAACCTCCCACAAAAAGGCCGTGCGCGACCGGCCTCAAGTAGTTGTCCCTTGGGCACTGCGGTCACGCACCCAGGTCTCTAAGACCAACACTAATCCGATTTTATTTTCAGGTCCCTCAAGAAATACCCTTCCACGGTGTGGGCAACCGGGAAATGACATCAGCCCTCATACCCGTAACAGCACACGAAACCAAGTTGGTCACATTCAAATCCTTCCTACACCTCCTAATAACTCTCTTATCTCCACGACTAACCCTTCTTACGTCCCTTCATTACCTCGCCCCGCTAGTGCAAACGATTTGAGTACGCGGAATGTTATTCCTGGTCTCCTGAAACCACGCTCCAAACTACACGTAGGAGCTTTCAACGTCCGAACACTGTGCCAAATAGGAAAACAGGCTTCCTTAGCTAAGACTTTAGAATCCCGCTCCATCGATGTGTGCTGCGTCTCCGAAACGCGCACACAGGATCCTAGTAGTGTCATTCATTTGACCGCACCATGTCAAAGTAACGAACCAACTCGATTTACGCTTCGTGTATCTGGAAGCCGTGATGCTGCTTCCCGTGGCCTTGCTGGCGTAGGTGTAGCATTGAGTCCTAGGGCAGAACTAGCTCTCTTAGACTGGATCCCAGTAGACAGTCGTTTGTGCGCTGTCCGACTAAACGGAACGGTAAGGACTCGGAAAAATAGGGACACTTGTCGTTGCCTGTTCGTCGTCTCTGCCTACTCTCCCACTGACTGCAGCTCAGATGATGTAAAAGATGAGTTTTACAGAAACTTTCCGACCTTCTCCGAAAAGCTAGGCGTTCTGGTATAGTAATAGTGGCTGGTGACTTTAATGCTCAAGTAGGTAAACTAAGCGAAAGGGAAAGACATCTGGGTGGATCTTATGCTGCGCGGTTCAAAGAACAGATAACGGCGACCGTCTGTTTCAGCTATGCTCAGATAACCGCCTGTTTCTTGCAAGCACTAACTTAAAGCATAAGGAAAAACATCTTTTAACATGGCGACCCCCTAATTCGTCCCAACGCCGGACCCAAATAGATCACATCGCTATCAGCCACCGATGGAGGGGCTCGATAGAAGACCGTCGCTCATTCTGGAGCACATGCCTAGACTCAGATCATGCTCTAGTGCGAGCGCGTATTTGTCTACGCCTTACTGGACGTAGGAAAGATGGTGCAAGGAAACCCCTTAGGGTCGTACTTAATGATAGTCAAGCTAAGAGTATATTTCAGGAACAACTGGATAAACAGGTAGTAGGAACCCAACTGTTAGCGAAACAATCTCAGGGAAAGATGGACATATTATTCATTCTCAATCCAGGAGATTGGATCGATGGGCAGAACACTTTAGGGATCAGTTCAACTGGCCTTCAACCACACTTCGGTTTCCCACGATCTCCAATCTACCTGAATGGCAAATTAATGTAAGTCCTCCGACTCTACGAATTTGAAAAAGCTATAGGAAATCTGAAGCGTGGGAGAGCAGCAGGCCCTGACAGGTTTACCCCAGAGATTTTTAAGGATGGTGGTCCAGTATTAGCAGCGAGACTGACTGAGGTCTTAGGTAGAATCTGGAAATTGGACGTAATCCCATCTGACTGGTCTCAATCACTGATTGTGCCAGTCTATAAGAAAGGACAAAAGTCGTATTGTGACAATCACAGAGGAATTAGTTTGACTAATATAGTGTCTAAAATATTAGCTTCAATAATACTTCGACGTCTAACCAAAGCTCGTGAAGAGCAGACTAGAGAAAACCAGGCTGGTTTTCGACCTGGATGTGGTTGTATAGATCAAATATTCACACTACGTCAGGTCCTAGAACATAGACACACATTCAGACGCCCCACAATGATAGAATTTCTCGACCTTAAGGTGGCATTCGACTCTGTTGATCGTGAGGTTTTATGGCAGTGTTTGTCACTAAAAGGAGTACCAAAGAAGTACATTAACCTTATAAAGGCTCTCTACTCGAACACAACTGGTCGAGTGAGAGCTTATGGCGAACTGTCATCAGAACTGATTACCTCAAGTGGTTTTCGTCAGGGCTGTCCACTCTCTCTATTCTTGTTTAACTTTGTCGTTGACGTGCTTTTAGAGGTAACTCTTTCCACATCTGACTTTCCAGGGGTTGAATTTCTACCGGGAGATCCACTTGTTGACTTAGAATATGCCGATGACATAGTTCTATTTGGTGAAAACGCTGACAAAATGTAGAGTCTTCTGACCACTCTAAGCAACAACGCATGCATGTTCGGCATGCGATTTTTTCCCTCGAAATGCAAAATGTTGCTTCAGGATTGGGTTGCGTCGACACCCGAACTAGTGATAGGGAGTAAAGTAGTTGAGCATGTCGACCGCTTCACTTATCTCAGAAGTCTCATCAGCCCTTGTGGTCTGGTGTGTGACGAAACCTCAGCACGGATACAGAAGGCTCGACTAGCTCTTGCCAACATGCGTCATTTGTGGCGTAGGCGAGATATCTGTCTATCAACCAAAGGACGGGCTTACTACGCAGCAGTTCGCTCCGTCCTACTTTATGACAGTGAAACATGGCCAGTAAGAGTAGAGGATATTCGTAGGTTACTAGTATTTGATCATAGATGTCTTCGAAACATTGCTCGTATATCCTGGGACCACCGAGTAAGTAACTCAGTTGTTAGGAAACAGGTACTAGGTAAAGATGGCAAATCAATTGATGAAGTAGTAAAACTTAATCAGTTGAGATGGCTGGGACATGTGTTGCGCATGCCCAACCACCGACGTGCGATGTTTTCTGGTGTAGGAGTAGGCCCTGACCGTTGTTGCTACCTTGACGTGGTGGTCGGGCTTGCCTATCGTGATGAAGCAACTGAGCTATACTGGCTGGAACAACCGTTCCTCAAGGTCCTACCATGCCAGACAGGTCGGTTGAAGAGCGGTAATACTAAAAGCAACAAAACCTAGGTCCGAAGGCGAAGTCGTACTGCTGACTGTACAGAGGTGTGACAGCAGTAAGGTGTTTCCCTCGGACAACCAGCATCTGCAGCGATGCTGCCTTCCCAAAAGGAGGGGTGGTTTTAGAAAAGGTCGACCCTAAAAATGCACACCTCGCCTTATCCCCCGGATTTCCGTCTCCGGCGGTAAGGCCGTTTGAAGAACGGAGCTAACATTAAAAACCTCCCACAAAAAGGCCGTGCGCGACCGGCCTCAAGTAGTTGTCCCTTGGGCACTGCGGTCACGCACCCAGGTCTCTAAGACCAACACTAATCCGATTTTATTTTCAGGTCCCTCAAGAAATACCCTTCCACGGTGTGGGCAACCGGGAAGTGATAACCGCCCTCATACCTCTAACAGCATTCAAGACCACTATATTCATAATCAACCTACCTCTTCAATTCCTATTATTCCTCTTACATCGACTTTCAAATCTAAACTCCCTCTTTTAGCTTCCTCCTCAAGTGTCACCACAGCCAACGATTCTAGTGCGCAAAACACTGTCCCAGGTCTACTGAAACCCCGCTCCAAACTACACATTGGAGCCTTCAACGTACGCACACTATGTCAAATCGGTCAGCAGGCTTCCTTAGCTAAAACCTTAGAATCTCGTACGATTGATGTATGCTGTGTCTCCGAAACACGCATACAGGATCCTAGTGTGGTCATTCACTTGACCTCACCTCGGCAAAACGGAGTGCCGACGAGATACACTCTCCATGTATCTGGCGACCCGATGGCTAGTTCTCGTGGACTTGCAGGTGTAGGCATAGCACTAAGCATGAGGGTGAACAAGAGCTATTAGAGTGGATCCCCGTTAATAATCGTCTATGCACTGTTCGGCTAAACGGCTCCGTAAGAACTCGAAAGGATAGGGACACACGTCGTTGCCTTTTCGTCGTTTCTGCCTACGCTCCCACTGACTGCAGTTCGGATGAAGTGAAAGATGAATTTTACAGAAAGCTGTCTGAACTTCTTCAGAAAGCTAAACGTTCAGACATAGTACTCGTAGCAGGCGACTTTAATGCCCAGGTAGGTAGCTTAAACGAAACAGAAAGACATTTAGGTGGGTATTTTAGTATTCCGGCACAGAGAACAGATAATGATGATCGTCTGCTGCAACTTTGCTCAGACAATCGTTTATTTTTAGCAAACACAAATTTTAAGCATAAGGAGAGACAGGCTGGCTTCAGACCTGGTCGTGGCTGCATCGACCACATATTCACCATTCGTCAGGTTCTAGAACACAGGCATACTTATCGGCTTCCGACAATAGTGGTCTTCCTTGATTTAAAAGCAGCGTTTTACTCTGTTGACCGAGAGGTTCTGTGGCAGTGTCTGTCATTGAAAGGCGTACCTCAGAAGTACATAAACCTTGTGAAGGCTATTTACTCGAACACTACTAGTCGAGTGAGAGCTTATGGCGAACTGTCATCTGCTTTCGCAACCTCAAGTGGCGTCCACCAAGGCTGTCCACTTTCTCCATTTTTGTTCAACTTCATCATAGATCTACTGGTGGAAATAACGCTCTCATCGACTGAATTCTCGGGTATTGATCTCCTTCCAGGAGGTCCACTTATTGACTTAGAATACGCAGATGACATAGTCCTGTTTGGTGAAGACGCTGATGAAATGCAGAATCTTTTGGTAGCACTGAGCAACAATGCCAGAATGTTTGGGATGCGCTTCTCTCCCTCCAAATGCAAGTTGTTGCTGCAGGACTGGTCTGCGTCAACATCTGAACTAAGGATAGGGGGTGAAGTAGTCGAACGCGTTGACAACTTCACTTATCATGGAAGTCTAATCAGCCCTAATGGGTTGGTGTCTGACGAAATCTCAGCACGGATTCGAAAAGCTCGTTTGGCCTTTGCCAACTTACGTCATCTATGGCGCAGGCGAGATATCCGTCTATCAATTAAGGGACGAGTATACTGCGCGGCAGTTCGTTCCGTTCTACTATACGGCTGTGAAACATGGCCTTTAAGAGTAGAAGATATTCGTAAGTTACTAGTATTTGACCACAGGTGCCTTAGAAATATTGCGGGTATCTGCTGGGATCACCGGGTAAGTAATAGTGAGGTTAGACGCAGGGTATTAGGGAATGATGGTAAATCAGTTGATGAGGTTATGAACCTTCATCGACTGAGATGGTTGGGCCACGTGCTGCGTATGCCTGAACACCGATTACCGCGACGCGCAATGGTAACCGGTGTTAGGGATGATTGGAAGAAAGTTAGAGGCGGCCAAACCAAAACGTGGCATCAGTGCTTGAAGTCACTAACTTCTGGTCTGAGCCATGTTGGTAGATGCAGACTGTCTGGTTGGGGTCCGCGTGACTATCGTAACCAATGGTTGGAGATTCTTGGTGACATGGCTCAGAATCGATCACAATGGCATCGGTGTATTCACTCTCTGTCTTCCTTTAAACTAAGAGATTAAAATCACTTCAAATCTTTCTTTCTACGAACTAATTCTATCTTCCTGTACTATCTCCTTATACACAATCTTTCTTCTATATATTACCACCACTGAATTAACTACTTCTATGAATCCGGTGTTCATCTTGTTGTGCTAATGCGGTATGGCAACTTGGACCGATGTATATACGTGCCTGGTCCTACGTTGCAGCTGACTGACTGACTGACTGACTGTAGGAGTAGGCTGGAAGAAAGCTAGGGGTGGCTAGACCAAAACATGGCACAAATCCATGAAGTCACTGACAAGTGGGCTGAGCCATGTTGGTAGATGTAGACTACTTGGTTGGGGATCGCGAGTTGATAGCGACCGATGGTTAGAGACCTTGAATGACATGGCTCAAAACCGTTTGCAATGGCGCAGGTGCATCCACTCTCTGTGTTCCCTCAAACTCTAATCTTCTGTAATCTTCATGTCCTTTATTTTCTTTCCAAATCTATTCCACTGGACTATACTCCTTAAATAACATCAAACCCTAATGTTCCCTATCACTACCTCTTCCACTACGGGATTTGAATTAATAACTGAAACTCCGTGCTAATGTGGTATGGCAACTCGAACTGATGTACGTACGTACGAAGTTCCACGTCGTTACTGACTGACTGATATGATTTGTCTTCAGAATACTTTAGCCAGCATCTTTGTTGTATTTGTGGCAATATCAGTCGTCTGTATCAACTGATATGTCCAACAAATAGTTGATTTCTAACTTCTTTTGTATGGCAAAAGTTCTTCATGAATTTAAACCATCACTGAATACGAAGTAAAACTGGTTAACAATCGTTATAGGTCACTGAACATTTATGTTACTGCAGATCACATATCCAAGTATTGTTTACTTCTCAAACTACATATTTTTCACTAATCAGTATTAAAGATAATAAACGTACAATTTCATTTAAATTCTTTTAGCATAGAATATCACATCAAGCAAGAATGTACCGCTGAACAAATCCTAAGACCAGAAGATTATGGCAATGAACATACAAACCAAGATTCCGAGTCGTCAGCTGTGGAACCGTGTACTACTGTTTTATCAAAGAAGTCTAGGAAAAATAGCTCCATCAAGAGCTCAGAAATTCTTGCTAACGAACAGGATTTACGACGCAGTAGTAGGCAACGTAAGCCTGTTCAGGTATTTAATATCCAACCATCTCAGACTAAACGTCCAAAATTATCAACCCCTGTTTCAAATTCATTACACAAGGTCAATAACGAAGACGAAAAAACTAAAAAGCAGAAAATACCTGTCGTAAAAATACATCTCACTGCAAATGGCCATGTGGTGAACAAAAATCAAAAGCGAAAAAAGAAACGTCATCGTAAAAAACCTCGAAAGGGTTCAAATCCTTGGATTTATGGAACATCTTCTAGTGACTCAGATGGTGAAGATGATTCATTTGAAAATGCGCTTATGCAACACTTAAATGTAGATAGCGATGAATCAAATCTTCATTCACCGAAAAAACAAGGCAAAAACATAAATCCTGAGTGGTCAGATGCGCCTGAAAGTGATTTCGACCCAAATGGTTTGGATATTCAAAGTGATGCTGATAGTGTAACCGATGGACGGAACTTGGCCAGGCAAAAACGTTTACAAAAGAAGTTTGAATTAGATCCAAATACTAATTGCAATGCAGACGAAAAGGAAGAACCGTGTCAGGTTTGCTTTAAGTCACATTTACCCGATTGGATGTTGTTATGCGACCGATGCGATTTGGGACATCATGCTATGTGTCTCTCACCCCCTTTACATATTATTCCAGAAGGTGATTGGTTTTGTCCTCGTTGTCAACACGCTACTCTGATATCAGCTTTAAACGAAACTATTACTGTTCTTGAGGCTGAATCGAAGAAGCGAAATATTTGGAAGCGTATGCAAGAGCGCTTGAATTTTGTTAATATCAGTATGACGAACATTTTAGGAGATGATGATAGTGATTTTCATGAGCGTAAAAACAAGAAAGGAAAAGTACTGCGTAATACTCAAAAGAACAATGTCAAATATGCTTGTGATGACTCGTATAGTGATGAAGAAAATGAAGATATTGCTTCTGTATCCCATTCGGATTCTAAAAATACTAACTCCAACACTGACTCTGGTGTTGACGGCAGGTCTCAAGGAAATCCAACTAGGCGTCGTCGTCAAGTTCGGCCAAAATCGAAGACTCAGTTTTCCAGACCACGCCGTGTAAACTTCCGAGAAGAAACGTCTGAAGAATCAGAGTCAATCGAGTCTGACTATGAACCACTTCCTTGTAGAAATACTCGCCAACGCCAAGTTAGGTATAAAGTGAGCGAAGCATTCAAAGAGCTAGATGAAGCACTAGAAGCTGACGAAAAATATCAAGAAGAAAAGCAGCGCAAACTAAAACGAAAGACTAGTGAACACTATAACAACACTGATGGTGAAAATGTTATCGACGAAGAATGTGAGCTTAACGGTCATACACCTAAGTGTTCACGTGGAAAAGACCTATCGAATATCTTGGGGCCGGATTGGAAAGAATTCGAAGAAGATAGCAGTATGCGATCTCGTCGTAAAAAGCGTCGCATTGCTGATCTGTCTTCTAGTTCTTCTTGCGAATATTCGAATGAAAATTCAGTAGATAGTAAAACAAGACGGAGTTGTCGAACGAAGGATGAAGATTTTAAACCATCATCTTCTGAAGTGTCAGAAAGTGAAGATGATATCGACTCTCGGAAGCATATTTCAAGTGATGATTTTGAACAATTGTCAAGTGATAATAGTTGGCTTTCAACTGCACGACACAAATCTCGTTCGTCACGTGGAAATACTCGAAAAAAGAAAAGATCATCCAACTATTCTTACCGGTCTCGAAAACCCGTCCCTTGTTTTGAAGACAGTGATGAAGGATCTGATCGTGCAGTATTACGGACTAGAAGGTGAGCTGTGTACTAAGTTCAACATTCACATTTTGAAAATTTTTCTTACTAGTTTAGGACGAAAACTATCAGTCATTAATTCATAGCAGTGAATCCCGTAAATTCATTCCTTTTTTGCTAAAAGTGAATTATCACTATTATTCACGCAATAGTTTCTGCTCAGAGCTTAGCACTCAAGGTTGTGTCTGGTTACTGACCTTGAGGAAGTATATAACGCAATGGCTGAATGTAGTTTTGTGTTGTACTATTAGTTATACATATTGTTTATGATTAGTAAAAACACTCAGATACTCCAACTAAATTAAAGTGGGTTTTAACCCGGAATTCGGTAGTTGGCATTCAACTGTCTAATTCAGAATCACAACTTTGAGCTGCGACAAAGTTCAATAACATTCACTCACTTACTAGTACGTTTATACTGTATGCCATACTGTATTATTGCATATCAAGGTATATTTTGTTGGTAGATTGTCACTATAAACACGGATTCGACGTGCAGGTAAAGTGTACACCATTTGATTGCTAACTACAAGCAGTTGTTCCAGTTAGTTGGGCATTTAATATTTTCCGGTATTTACTCAGATAAACCCCAGCTACAGTATTTGACGGTGCGTTTTTCCCGTTTTCAGGAATAAAATGTGAAGTTATAGACACCTCAAACTTGTGTTATTACTTGTTGGCATTTAAATCTTGGATTTCCATATCAAAGCTTCCTTGTTTTTTTTCTGGTTTAAAAGTTTATGCTTATGTTATAATTCTCTCTTACGGTTATGACCCAGCTATTCCTACTGCTTAGTATTCTCGAGCACCGATTCGCTCGACAAGTGCCCAAATCAGAACACGGTTAAACAGGAAAGAGATTGTATTCCAAATAACAAGGTTAGATGGAAGAAAGAAGCACAATAGGAAAACCGTTAGTATATTTATAGTTTTTTACATAAGACGATTCTATAGTCTTCTCCAAGTATCGACTAGCGCTGATTGGACAGAAATTAGCCAATCAGCGTGCACCAAAGCAATCGTGCATTGAGCATGCTTAAATCCAATCTATGTCCCGCTAACACCTCTCCTTTGAGCAGATTCGTAGGATCTGGTGCTAGAGTCCAACTGCAACCGAGTGACTGGCCTGTGCTTTCGATTTGTCCATCGTCTAGGCAATAAAGAAGTATCAATCTTTGCTTGCACAGAAACTTACCTGTCTGTTCCAGGCGTTTTGACTCTTATCCAATCAGCGTGCGCCAAAGCAATCGTGCATTGAGCATGCTTAAATCCAATCTACAAAAATTAGTCTTGTTAGGCGCTAGTTGAAAGGTAAATGATTGGGAGATACAGGTTCCATTATATCACTAACCCCCAAATGCCCTGGCACGACCGAGAGTGGGGAGAGTCCGCACACTCTCGAAATGCTCTCACATGGCCACGCGTATATAGCCTCTGCCAGGGAAGTCCTACTCACTGCCTTCTCTTGGCGGGGGTGATGTCTACGGAATTGAGAGAACGAGAAGCGAATATCCGGCTCGTTAACCGGGTTGTTGGACACTGAGACTCCACCTAGGGGAGTTGGAAAACCTTTATTCCAAACCAATGGTGCACATGGGCTCCAGTATCCTAAGGAAACAAATGGCGTATAAACCAATTTCTTGGTCACCGGCTTCCATGGGACTGCATCTCCTCACGATGCTCTACTGCCTTGTGGACTAGTTCTTAAGGTCAAAGGCTCCGGGTGTGGCCCCCTAAGAAAACCACCTGCTTCGGTCTGGGCGCCCTGGCAGTATCTCAGCCCACACACTAAAACATGATGAACTATCTGCTTATGGAAAATATTCCTTTCGCTCCAGTTAACAATCAAATGACTCGCATTATTATTATTATTATTATTATTATTATTATTATTACTATTATTATTTACTACTTCATTTATTCACTCCCTCTTATTCCCACTTTATGTATCCTTTTCGACTTAGACAGAAGCTCGCCTATGGTGGAAATTCGGCTCTATCTAAACGTTCTGGAGTAACTGCCTGGTTGAAAACTGTATGTTACCACCGAATACGAGTACTGAAGCAGTTTTTCTGAAACCACGTGCACCATTCAAACTGGCTGCCTTCAACGTTCGCACACTTATGCAGGTCGGACAACAGATAGGGCTGGCTATGTCTTTGAAAAGTCTTGATATTGACGTGTGTTGTCTATCCGAGACCCGTATCCAAGACTCTGGTGAAGTACTACAAGTTCGCTCTCCATCTGTCACTTCAAAAAGCTTGTTTTATGTGCGTTTATCCGGGGACCCTGTGGCATCTTCGTCTGGTTTTGCTGGCATTGGTGTCGCACTAAGCGCAAGAGCTGAGGCAGCACTAATCGACTGGATCCCCATTAACAGTCGGTTATGTGCTGTTAGATTAGAAAGTTCCATCAAAGTGAGAAGAAATCGGCGTGAGGAACGATGTCTTTTCGTCATCTCCGCCTGTGTTCCGACAGATTGCAGCCCGGATGCAATCAAGGATGAATTCTACCACCAGCTAACTGTTCTTCTCCAGAAAGTGCGTTCGCCAGATATTGTAGTATAAGCCGGAGACTTGAATGCTCAGGTCGGGCGTCTAGGCACAGAAGAGAGTCGTTTAGGTGGCCGATGGGGACTCGTTGGTCCCAGAACAGATAACGAGGAACGTCTACTGCAGCTATTCACAGACCACAACCTGTTTCTGGCTAGCACTAACTTTCGGCACAGTCATCGCCGATGTGCCACCTGGCGTCCTCCTTCTGCATCTCAAGCCTGGACTCAGATTGATCACATCGCGATCAGCTACCGCTGGCGCGGTTGTGTACAAGACTGCCGCTCCTTTTGTAGTACCTATCTGGAATCTGATCATGCCCTGGTCTGCGCCAAAGGATTGATGTTAGCAAGCTGGCTGCAACTTCTGTTGCTAGTAAGTACCGAACCGAGCTAGCTTCTAGGCTAGCTACCATTCCACCGAAAAGTATAGATGAGCATTGGTTGCAATTGCATGACGCCATGAAAATGGCGGGTACAGTCTGTTGTGGGTTTGCGAAACGTCCCGCTTACAAGCACTGGGTTTCTTCTGGTTCCTTACAACTGATTGAAGCCCGTCGGTCTACTCCGGGTGACCGTGAGTTTGACCACAGACGAAGGATGTTACGTAATGAAATTGGGCAAAGCTTGCGTAAGGACCGAGAAGCCTGGTGGTCGGAGCGTGCTAACGAGCTGGAAGCAGCAGCTGCATCTGGTAATTACCGGAAGCTCTTCCAACTCATCCGAGCCACTGTCAGCAAGAAGTCTGGTGTGAGCGAAACAATCTGCGAGGATGACGGAACGGCAATCATTAACATTCATAGAGGTCATGGGCGATGGGCAGAATTTTTCGAAGGGCAGTTCAACTGGCCTGCTGCTCTGGCAACATCGGTCAAACCTTTAGTATGCGGATGATATTGTCTTACTGTGCGAGAATGCCCAAGCCATGCAATCCGCACTTAATCAGTTGGCAATCAATGTCCGTAGGTATGGTATGTGCTTTGCACCTTCGAAGTGCAAAGTTCTTCTACAAGACTGGTAGGATCCTAATCTTGTACTCACTCTGGATGGTGAGCAGATTGAAGTAGTCGAGAAGTTCGTGTATCTAGGTAGCTGCATAAGTGCTGGTGGTGGCGTGAGTGATGAGATCAATGCACGTATAGTGAAAGCCAGAGCGGCTTATGCCAATCTGGGCCATCTTTGGCGCCTTCGTGATGTTAGTCTGGCTGTAAAAGGTCGGATCTACAACGCGACGGTGAGAGCAGTTTTGCTCTATGCTTGTGAAACCTGTCCTCTCCGAGTTGAGGATGTTAGACGACTCTCTGTGTTCGATCATCGCTGTCGCCGAAGGATTGCTAACATCCAGTGGCAACACCATGTTAGTAATGCAAAGGTTCGGCATCGTGTGTTCGGGCACAGAGACGATAATGCAATTGGTGTCACCATCTTGAAACACCGACTTCGGTGGCTTGGACATGTTCTACGAATGTTGTTCCAGAGAATTCCTCGTCGTGCATTATTTGCCGACTCTGGGACTGGTTGTGAAAAGCGGAGAGGTGGTCAGTATATGACATGGTGTCGTGGTATGAAAGAAAGCTGCAAAGGGCTAGCTTCTGTTGGTCCTTCACGACTCCCTGGTTGGGGTCCGAGAGACGGTGCAACACATTGGCTAGAGACGTTATCAGATATGGCTCAGAATAGAAGCCAATGGCGATCCTGCTGTAACCTTTTACTTACTTCATAAAAAGTGGTTGCTTCTTACTTAACTGTAAGATTTCTTCTGATTGTACCTTTCCGTTTCCCCCATTATTGTTTTTTTTTATAATTTCAATAGTTGAAATCATGAATCAATTGAAGCTAGACCACCATGGAAAACCTGGAAGCACTGGACGGCCGTTTCGTCCTAGTATGGGACTCCTCAGCAGTGCGCATCCACGATCCCGCACCCCGCGGGATTCGAACCCAGGACCTATCAGTCTCGCGCCAGGCGCTTAACCAACTAGACCACTGAGCCGGCATCCAACGGTGTTAATGTCTAACTTCAACTAATCCACGAAGTTGCGCCACCGTCACCATTGTCTTCAGTGAGCTGATATCTCACAACAGACCTGGTTGAACTTCCCTACGTCCCTTACCTTTTTTCCCTTCTCTTTAAATTTTCATTGTTTTGTGTGGTTCATATATATTTGGTGCCCCCTTGTACCAATATTTATGTGTTCAAATAAAATCATTCACTCTTAATGAGTTTCAGCAGCCCAGATATGCTACCTTTTAATGAAGTTTTGAAACCAATTGACGTTTTAAGTTCGTTGTGAGTTTCAAATAAATACTGGTCATAATTTTACAAATTTGTGTATTTTTATGGTTGTTAACTAGTTTTCTAATTGTTTCTTGATAATATTATCATCTGTGTACTCCTCAATTATCTGTTTGGTATAGTTTACAGGATGAAACTTTATTATTTTTATTTATAGGTGTACCCGAACTGTTGTTAGTTACCGTGAATCAAACGATGAAACAACAGATAATTCTGAACACAATTTTTCGGAAATTCCTGTTACAAGTAAATGTAAAATTCGTAGAGTGTTAGATGATGAAGAGGAAGAAAAAGAAGAGGATGTTGAAACCAATAAAACCAATGCTGACCGGTCTCCTACTCCAATATCTGCCAGTCTAAAAATAAAACGTTCCCAGTCTAATCGCACAGTTTTAAAGTATTCTTCTGATAGTGATTATCAACCGTGTGAAGATGATGATGATGATGATCAAGAGGAGAACAGTCAAGATGATAGTGATTCTCTAACGACGAACAGAAAAATTCCACCAACAAATATCTCTATAAAATCAAAAGGTATTATTAAATCACAATCAGATGAATCAAATCACCAACATTCAACTTCAGAATTAATCATCTCCGAAACAAGTGATATCGATAATTCACTTTTCAAAGATAATGTGAAATCGGTTTCTGTCGAATCAGGTGGCTGTAAAGTTGAACCAACAGACAATATTATGGTAAACTCATTTGATACATCTAAAAATCATTTAAATGGAAATAATTATGAAAATGATGAAGAAGTAGAAGATGAGGCTGATGAATGTCTACCAGTTCGTAATTTATCGCATATTTCTCCTCAATTTGACAAGCAAATTATTGAAAATAAACCTTGTGTTTCTCCGGATATTTTTTAAAGTTTACATTTATTTATAATTATGTTCTTTGTTGTATGTTTATGAATAATGTTAATTTTGTATATTTTCCATTTTGATTGACATTCAGGGAGATTTTTGTAGTGGTCAGTAGTTTTAAAAGTTGCCAAGTAATCAATAACTAAAGTTCAATGTAAAATTTTTACCTGTCCTACAATAATCTATACTCCTTATTATCTTATTGTACATAGTTGAATCCTGTCGATTTATTTATGTGTTGTTCATTCGTTTATTTTTAATGTTTAGTTGCCTTTTCGGCAGTATGATAATTTTTCATAATAATGAAAAGCATTTAACTACGTTTAAACACCATCAATGGATACAAAAAAATTTTTTATAATGAGTAAATGGTTTGATTTTTCTTTTTGTGAGATTGTTATATAACTGCTTTTTTTTCCTTTTCGTAAAATTTCACAAAAGATTTCCCATATTACTTACTTTTCCTTGTAAACTTTTGTAATTTGATGATATCGTATGCTATCATCGTAAAGTAGGTAATTACAAAAAATAATTAAGGGCAGAGTTTTCGTGCCACATGTATAATTTTATCTCTTTGAGAACAATTTCAAATTCACGTCAGATACTACGACATAGACTAACTTCTGAATTGATTTCGTAATTATATATACATGAGAATAGACATTTTCGTTGTAAAACCCTAGTTTACTAATTTTCCAAATTACTAACAACACAAAATCGCGTTTGAACACATCGTATTGAGTTACGCGGTACAGGTGTAGTTGGTGACTTGTGTTAACTATCGAGCGCTGGATCCTTATCTGAACCATTTGGCCACTAATCAGTAGGAGTCGATCGTTATCGAGTTTCAGACATTTAGTTAGTATTTTTTGCTCTCATAAATTGATTGTCGTTAAGGATAGATGATGTCACCAAATTATGATCTATCGTAGTTCGTTGATATGGTGTACGTACAATGAACAATGTTGACGACTGTATTCTGACTGGTTTAAATATTTACTCGTGATACTTCAAGTTCAAAGGTGTGACCCCGTATCGCATGCACTGCGAAGGAGTCCTGCACAAGCAAGTAACATCATTTCAGCGGTTTTTGGCACTCCCGCCGTCAATTTTATAGAAACTGATTCTTAACTGGCATGTAGTTTGTGCACGTCGAATGTTTATTATAAGCTTGAGTTTTGCTTTAATGCGATAATCAGTAGCATATTTTCAGTCACCTGCAACGTAGGACCAGGCACATATATGCATCGGTCCAAGTTGCCATACCTCATTAGCACAAGATAAACACCGGATTCATAGAAGTAGCTAATTCAGTGGTGATATAAAGAAGAAAGATTGCATATAAGGATATAGTACAGGAAGAAAGAATTAATTCGTAGAAAGGAAGATATGAAACGATTTTAATCTCACCATCTAAGGGAAGACAAATGGTATATACACCAACGCCATTGTGGTCGATTCTGAATCATGTTACCAAGTCTCCTACCATTGGTTACGATAGCCACGCGGACCCCAACCAAGTAGTCTGCATCTACCAATATGGCCAAGACTAGAAGTTAGTGACTTCAAGCACTGATGCCACGTTTTGGTTTGGCCGCTCCAAACTTTATTCCAACCACCCCCTACACTAATCAGCATTGCGCTTCGTGGTAAACGGTGTTCAGGCATACGCAACACGTGGCCCAACCATCTCAGTCGATGAAGATTCACAACCTCATCAACTGATTTACCATCATTCCCTAATACCCTGCGTCTAACCTCACTATTACTTACTCGGTGATCCCAGCAGATGAGAGCAATATTCCTAAGACATCTGTGATCGAATACTAGTAGCTTACGAATATCTCCCACTCTTAACGGCCATGTTTCGCAGCCGTAAAGTAAAAATGGAATGAACTGCCACATAGTATACCCGTCCATTAGTCAATAGACGGATATGTCGCCTTCACCATAGGTGACGTAAGTTGGGAAAAGCTAAACGAGCTTTTTGAATCTGGACAGAGATTACATCAGACTTTCAAGATAAGTGAAGCTATCGACGCGTTCGACTAATTCACTTCTTACCCTTAGTTTAGGTGCTGACGCAGACCAGTCCTGGAGCGATAACTTGTATTTAGAGGGAGAAAAGCGCATTCCAAACATCTTGGCATTGTTGCTTAGTGCTACCAAAAGACTCTGCATTTTGTCAGCGTCTTCGCCAGACAGGACTGTGTCATCTGCGAATTCTAAGTCGACAAATGGACCTTCTGGCAGGAGATCAATGCCCGAGAATTCAGTCCACGAGAACGTTGTTTCCATCAGCATGTCTATGATGAAGTTGAACAAAAATGAAGATAGTGGACAGCCTTGACGGACACCACATGAGGTTGCAAAAGCAGATGACAGTTCGCCATAAGCTCTGACTCGACTAGTAGTGTTCGAGTAAAGAGCCTTTACAAGGGTTATGTACTTCTGAGGTACGCGTTTCAATGACAGGCACGGCCACAGAACCTCTCAGTCCACAGAGTCAAATGCTGCTTTTAAGTCAAGGAAGACCACCATTGTCGGACACCGATAAGTATGCCTGTGTTCTAGAACCTGACGAATGGTGAATATGTGGTCGATGCAGCCACGACCAGGTCTGAAGCCAGCCTGATTTTCTCGTGTTTGCAGCTCACGAGTCTTAGTTAGGCGTCCGAAAATTATCGAAGCTAGTATTTTAGATACTATATTAGTTAAACTAATCCCTCTGTGGCTGTCACAGGATGATTTTGACCCTTCCTTAAATATTGGGTCGATAAGTGATTGTGACCAGTTAGATGGGATAACGTCCAACTCCCAGATTTTAGCTAAAATATTAGTCAACCTAATCGCTAAAACTAGACCACCATCCTTAAAGACCTGTGGGGCCAATCCATCTGGACCAACTGCCCTTCCTCGTTTCAGATTAGCTATAGCCTTTTGAACTTCAGCTAGAGTTGGGGGACCTACTTCAATGTTCCATTCATACTGTCTGGGAATAGAGGGTAGTTGTAGAGTAGCTGAAGGCCAACTGAACTGCTCCTTAAAATGTTCCGCCCATCGTTCTAAACGTCTGGACTGGGAGCAGATGAGAGTGTCGTCTTTTTCCGAAATGGTCTGACTTACACTTGACTTATTAGTTCCAGTTTCTTTTATTACTCTGTAGAGTTGTCTTGTGTTCCCTATAGACGCCGCCTTTTCCATCTCTTTTGCTTTCGTTGCCCACCACTGCTCACGATCATTCCTTAGACTTTTGCTTAACCTAGATCTGATCTGTTTACGCTCTTCATCGTAATCAGAACCTGATGGGATGGGTTTGCGAGAATCTATCAGTGCAATAGACCTTGAAGAAATCCATTGGTTCTTTGTAACCCTGTGTTTTAAATCACTAGTAGATGTCACTGCTATTTCCACAGCTGCTTGTATAACTTTCCAAGCAACATCTGGGTCAGCCTTGTTTTCAGAACTAACTAAGTGTGACCTCAGTTTTTCCTGGAACCTACTTTTGGTTTTCTCATTACTCAATTCGGTTCTAATGAGTATTTTTTTGTGTGGCTTTTTTGCGTCCAGTGAGGCGCAAACAGATGCGTGCTCGTATTAGAGCATGGTCGGAGTCCAAGCAGGTACTCCAGAATGAGCGACAATCTTCTATTGACCCTCTCCAACGATGACTGATGGCAATATGGTCTATTTGAGTCCATCATTGGTTTGGTGCAGTGGGTCGCCATGTTAGACGATGTCTCTCCTTATGCTTAAAATTAGTGTTTGCTAAAAATAAACGATTGTCTGAGCAAAGTTGCAACAGACAATCATCATTATCTGTTCTCTGTGCCGGAATACTAAAATACCCACCTAAATGTCTTTCTGTTTCGTTTAAGCTACCTACCTGGGCATTAAAGTCGCCTGCTACGAGTACTATGTCTGAACGTTTAGCTTTCTGAAGAAGTTCAGACAGCTTTCTGTAAAATTCATCTTTCACTTCATCCGAACTGCAGTCAGTGGGAGCGTAGGCAGAAACGACGAAAAGGCAACGACGTGTGTCCCTATCCTTTCGAGTTCTTACGGAGCCGTTTAGCCGAACAGTGCATAGACGATTATTAACGGGGATCCACTCTAATAGCTCTTGTTCACCCTCATGCTTAGTGCTATGCCTACACCTGCAAGTCCACGAGAACTAGCCATCGGGTCGCCAGATACATGGAGAGTGTATCTCGTCGGCACTCCGTTTTGCCGAGGTGAGGTCAAGTGAATGACCACACTAGGATCCTGTATGCGTGTTTCGGAGACACAGCATACATCAATCGTACGAGATTCTAAGGTTTTAGCTAAGGAAGCCTGCTGACCGATTTGACATAGTGTGCGTACGTTGAAGGCTCCAATGTGTAGTTTGGAGCGGGGTTTCAGTAGACCTGGGACAGTGTTTTGCGCACTAGAATCGTTGGCTGTGGTGACACTTGAGGAGGAAGCTAAAAGAGGGAGTTTAGATTTGAAAGTCGATGTAAGAGGAATAATAGGAATTGAAGAGGTAGGTTGATTATGAATATAGTGGTCTTGAATGCTGTTAGAGGTATGAGGGCGGTTATCACTTCCCGGTTGCCCACACCGTGGAAGGGTATTTCTTGAGGGACCTGAAAATAAAATCGGATTAGTGTTGGTCTTAGAGACCTGGGTGCGTGACCGCAGTGCCCAAGGGACAACTACTTGAGGCCGGTCGCGCACGGCCTTTTTGTGGGAGGTTTTTAATGTTAGCTCCGTTCTTCAAACGGCCTTACCGCCGGAGACGGAAATCCGGGGGATAAGGCGAGGTGTGCATTTTTAGGGTCGACCTTTTCTAAAACCACCCCTCCTTTTGGGAAGGCAGCATCGCTGCAGATGCTGGTTGTCCGAGGGAAACACCTTACTGCTGTCACACCTCTGTACAGTCAGCAGTACGACTTCGCCTTCGGACCTAGGTTTTGTTGCTTTTAGTATTACCGCTCTTCAACCGACCTGTCTGGCATGGTAGGACCTTGAGGAACGGTTGTTCCAGCCAGTATAGCTCAGTTGCTTCATCACGATAGGCAAGCCCGACCACCACGTCAAGGTAGCAACAACGGTCGGTCGATATGAAAAACGATAACTTGTACCAACACATTAATACTAAGTCTGACATTGTTTGAAACCGTTTGAAGCGGTCTATGGATGAAACGTATTTGAAACAATTTTAGGAATAAAATATTACTGACTGAGATAAGTACATTAAAGTAATCGCTTTTTAAAGTTGTAGCTGCTTGTGATATGTAAAAGAAAACCAATAAACATATTGGGCAAAAAGTACCTTATTTACATACATGGGTTTAAACAAACGTGTAAAATGCAAATAAACAATGAGTACAACAAAGCATAGTTAACTTCAAAGAAAACATAGGATTGCACTAAAATGAAGTAAATAAAATATATAGCAATAATATTTCTTAT